GACGCAATGTCTATGAAATGGCATGAGAAAGCCGTGGTCTCTCACAGTGCAAATATCCCAGGAAAATCCCATGATGAAACAGTAACCCAGGCTGTTTGACAGCATTTTCAAAGGGTTGGGAAGTCGGATGGACAAACCCATCAGGCCGATGAGGAGCACATTGTTCATTCAGGGTCCACCAGGTTGACCAGATGAAATGGACACTTTTTTTTTAAGGGCAGGAGAGAATGTCAGGGCGCGATCAGGTGCATCACCTGGTTACAACAATAAGAGAAAACCCTGTGGTGACATATCATAGAACCTTCATAGGGTTGGAAGGGACCTTGGAGATCTTCTAGTCCATCCCCTTGCCCAAGGCAGTAGACCTCATACCAGCCCGGACAGATGGATGTCCAATCTTTTCTTGAAAATCTCCAGCAATGGGGCACCCACAACATCGCGAGGCAAGCTCTTCCACTGCTTAGTGGTTCTCGCTGTCAAGAAATTCCTCCTTATTTCCAGGTTGGATCTCCCTCCAATGAGTTTCCACCCATTCGTTCTTCTCCTACCCTCAGGAGCAGTGGAGAATAGATCAATGCCCTATTTATTTATTTGTTTGTTTGTTTGTTTGTTTGTTTGTTTGTTTGTTTGTTTGTTTGTTTTTTTCCCTGCCCCTCTAGACCATGTCTACTCGGGGCAGGTCTACTACTATGGTAACCCTTCAGATCTTGGAAGACTGCTATAATATCTCTCCTTGGTCTTCTCTTTGTTAAGCTGAACATCCCCAGTTCTTTCAGTTGTTTTTCATAGGATTTAGTCTCCAGTCCCCTTATCATCTTTGCTGTTCATCTCTGCACCTCTTCCAGGCCTCAGCGTCTTTTTTTGTATTGTGTTGACCAGACCCAGACATAGCACCCAAGTGCAGCCTTACCAGCACGGTATAGAGTGTTATTATCACTTCCTGTGAACTTCAAAGAGTAGAACCAGTTACCTTGGGAATTGCTGAGTGCTTCAACACTGGAGGCATACAATAAAAACTTCAACAATCACCTGGCAGATATCCTTTGATTTATATTCCTGCATTGAGCAGGGGGTTGGACTTGATGGCCTTGTAGGCCCCTTCCAACTTCACTTTTCTATGATTCTATGATACAATCCCTCTGTTGATGCAGCCTAGGACTGTGTTGGCTTTCTTGGCATCTGCAGCACACTGCTGGCTCATCCTTACGTGGTGGTCCAGCAGGACACCTAAGTCCTTCTCATAGGTACTATTGTCAAGCAAGGTACCACCTATCCTGTACCTGTGCATCTGGTTTCTCCTGCCTAAGTGCAGGACCTTACTTTCCCCCCACTGAACTGCATCTTATTGGATAGGGCCCAATGTTCAAGTCTCTCTAGATCCTTCTGAATATTAAGTCTGTCTTCCAAAGGATTAGCAATTTGCTCCATCTTGGTGTCATCAGCAAATTTGATTAGTGCTCCTTCAATCCCCTCATCCAGGTTGTTGATGAAGATGTTGAAGTGCACTGGGCCCAAGATAGAACCTTGAGGGACCCACACACACACTTCCCTCCACATAGATGTGGTTCCATTGAGGACCACACATTGAGTGCAGTTGGTCAGCCAGCTGTAAATCCATCTGGTGCTTGCACAGTCTATCCCACTGTGTTCTATCTTGCACAGAAGCGGATAAGTCTACCTTATCAAATGCCTTACTGAAGTCTAAGTATACTATATCCACCATGTTTCTTTGGTCCACTAATTTAGTCACTTTAGCAAAGAAGGCAATAAGATTTGTTTGGCATGACCTTTTCTTAACAAACCCATGCTGTCTTCTAGTCATCACTTTGCTATTTTCTAGGTGCTCATAAATCTGCTACTTGATTATTTTGTTTATTTATTATTTATTTATTTTATTTATTAAATTTATATGCCGCCCACTCTACCCAAAGGTCTCTGGGCCGTTTACAACAATTAAAATTCAATACAATAACCTGTGACTGCTTAATGTTGGGTAACAGACAGTATACCAAGCCATTGTAATGCTATGTTTTAGGTGTTTTTAGTAAGCAGAGGACAGCATCTTATAACCAGAAAACACCAATGGCTTGAAACGAACTTGTGGGAAAGTGAAAGAAGGAAGTGCTGAAGCAGGACGGCCACTGAATGTTAAGAAGACCAAAATCATGGCAAGAGAAGAAGTACACAAAGTACACACACCTGCCTTAGAATGATAGAGAAGTGAAGTTGGAAAGGGGGCCTACGAGGTCATCAAGTCCAACCCTCTACTCAGGGCAGGAATCTGAATCAAAGCATGTCTGCCAGATGATGATCTAAGCCTTGCTGCTCCTTGAGCTTCAGAGTTCCTGTGTCCCAGTATGCCTGCATCTGCTCCGCTTCCCGCCTTGGTCCCTGCTCTTGCCTCTGCTGGCCTCCTGCCTCTTGGCGCCTTGTTCCGGCTCCGTTCTCCCAGCCCTGTGCTCCCGCTTCTGCTGAGTTGCGACCAACTGCACCGGGAGTGCCTTTGGATATGATCCTCTGCGTGGTGGATGGGGTCCAGGTGCTGAGGCTCCAATACTTTGGCCATCTCGTGAGAAGAAAAGACTCCTTGGAAAAAACCTTGATGTTAGGAAAGTGTGAAGGCAAGAGGAGAAGAGGACGACAGAGGACGAGATGGTTGGACAGTTTCACCGAAGTGACCAACATGAATTTGACACAACTCCAGGAGGCGGTGGAAGATCGGAGGGCCTGGCATGCTCTGGTCCATGGGGTCACGAAGAGTCGGACATGACTTAATGACTAAATAACAAAGCAAGAGAAGAGGAGTGTTGTTTGGATGTGAGGCAAGTTCTGATAAGCTCAGACCACAGACTGGACTTTAAGGCAGAGCAAATGCTTGTCTTCAAAATCTGGAAGGAAGTGGAACAGTCATCTGGGTGAATCCAGATTTTCACCAGCTGGATCAGTTCAAGGGCTATTCAACAGGTGCATTAGAAGATTCAATTCCTTTAAATTCTTCAAGTTCATGAACACAGGAGATTTTGCTCGGTATCCATGATTCAGAAAGTGAGAAAAGGTTCCAGTACTGGTGTCTACACACCAACATGCAAAAGGATGCCATCAAGAACATAGCAAAGGGCAGCTGACAACACCAATACAAGGCTTAACATAGTAATCTGTCATTTTACTTATTATGTAATTTAACTGTTGATCACCTGCTATTCCCCACATTTCACAAGGTCACATTTACACTATTCCCAGTTTCATCTTAGAGAAATATTGACCAATTTGGTCTGAAAATAATATTATTTTCTAAACCACATGCCTTCACATTTATATTATTGACATATTTTAATAAAGGCTTCAAGCTTTTGGTGAATTTATGCCTTTTTCTCTCCTCTATATAATTTATTTTATTAGTCATTTTTTTCCCATCAGCATTGTGTACCATATCTTGTTCATAAACAAGTGCAATGAGAGATCTTGGGCATTTTTCCAATTTTTAGCAATCTCGGATCTTGCTGTTCCCTATAAGATTTGCTACTAATTCTTTATTTTCAAGTGTCTCATTCCCACGTGTAAATATTAAGAATAACAATAATGTTTCATTCATGTCTATTTTTTGATTAATCAGCGTCTCTAACCATCTAATTACTTCACACCAGAATGCTTCTATTTTGGGGGAAGAAATCCACATGTGTTCCAAAGTTCCTTTTTGTCCACAATTCCTCCAGCATTTATCTGATATATCTTTATTAATGATGTGTAACTCTGTCGGATGTAAATGCCACCAACGCATTATCTTCAGAACCATTTCTTTCACATTTACTGATACTAACTGATATGGATATTTATTCCATATTCCTGTCCAGTCTTCCTCAGGTATATTACTGTTTAAATTTGTTTCCCTACACTGTTTTAGCACCTCTGCCTTTTCCATATTCTTTATTTCCATATTCCATAAACATTTATCTATTAGTGATGTTAAGCTTTGTAAGGAATTGGAAAGAACCTGGGAATTGTTGTTGTTGTTGTTCAGTTGTTTAGTTGTGTCCGACTCTTCGTGACCCCATGGACCAGAGCACGCCAAGCCCTCCTGTCTTCCACTGCCTCCCAGCATTGGGTCAAATTCATCTTGGTAGCTTGGAGGACACTGTCCAACCATCTTATCCTCTGTCATCCCCCTTCTAACATCAGGGTCTTTTCCAGGGAGTTTTCTCTTCTTGTGAGAAAACCATAGCTTTGACTATTCGGACTTTTGTTGGCAAGGTGATGTCTCTGCTTTTTAAGATGCTGTCGAAGTTTGTCATTGCTTTCCTCCCAAGAAGCAGGAGTCTTTTAATTTCGGGGCTGCTGTCACCATCTGCAGTGATCCTGGTACCCAAGAAAGTAAAATCTGTCATTGCCTCCATAACTTCCCCTTCTATTTGCCAGGAGGTGATGGGACCAGTGGCCACGATCTTCAGTTTTTTTATGTTGAGCTTCAGACCATTTTTTGCGCTCTCCTCCTTCACCCTCATTACAAGGTTCCTTAATTCCTCCTCACTTTCTGCCATCAGAGTGGTATCATCTGCATATCGGAGGTTGTTGATATTTCTTCCGACAATCTTAATTCCGGCTTCAGATTCGGAATTGTAGTCATGTAAAAATTGAGTCTGTAAGGTTCTGTGTAAGATGAATTTAAAAGAGATGTTTTTTCAGGAGCTTGTTGTGCAGAGTTGTTTGTCAAAGTCACAAGGTCGGACAGTCCAGAGAAAAGAGACGCAACAAAAAACATGAACTGGGAGAAGATAAGACACCTGGTGCTTAGATCATGAGCAGTTTGGGCAGTGATCAGAGTCAAGATTTAAAGACTATTTGAAGACATGTTTATTTAATTGATATAGACCTCCCCATTCACGTGATGCACAAGGTTTACAACAAAATACAACATACAACATGGAATAATTAAAAAATTAAAATGGAATAAAACAAAGGGCACCAGAGGCCATCTCTACAATGCCATGGTCCATGTGTCCCCTTCAATTTTTGAGATGCTCTTTGGTGTTCAGGTGAGACCTGAGGACAATAATGTAGCACTTGGGGATGAAGATGCAGCCCAGGAGGCCAGCGCTGGAGGCCAAGATGGAGAAGACCTGCACGGCCACCATGAACTTGCCTCTGGTGCTCAGGTAGGTGGGCACAAAAGACGCCCAAACGCTGCAGAAGACCAGCATGCTGAAGGTGATCAGCTTGGCCTCGTTGAAGGCCCCGGGCAACTTCCTGGCCAGGAAGGCCACCGTGAAGCAGACGGCAGCATTTTCAAAGGGTTGGGAAGTCGGATGGACAAACCCATCAGGCCGATGAGGAGCACATTGTTCATTCAGGGTCCACCAGGTTGACCAGATGAAATGGACACTTTTTTTTTTAAGGGCAGGAGAGAATGTCATTTCGAAATCAGGGCGCGATCAGGTGCATCACCTGGTTACAATAAGAGAAAACCCTGTGGTGAAATATCATAGAACCTTCATAGGGTTGGAAGGGACCTTGGAGGTCTTCTAGTCCATCCGCTTGCCCAAGGCAGTAGATCTCATACCAGCCCAGACAGATGGATGTCCAATCTTTTCTTGAAAATCTCCAGCAATGGGGCACCCACAACATCGCGAGGCAAGCTCTTCCACTGCTTAGTGGTTCTCGCTGTCAAGAAATTCCTCCTTATTTCCAGGTTGGATCTCCCACCAATGAGTTTCCACCCATTCATTCTTCTCCTGCCCTCAGGAGCAGTGGAGAATAAATCAATGCCCTCTTCCCTGTGGCAACCCTTCAGATCTTGGAAGACTGCTATAATATCTCTCCTCAGTCTTCTTTGTTAAGCTCAACATCCCCAGTTCTTTTAGTTGTTTTTCATAGGATTTAGCCTTCAGTCCCCTTATCATCTTTGCTGCTCATCTCTGCACCTCTTCCAGGCCTCAGCGTCTTTTTTGTATTGTGATGACCAGACCCAGACATAGCACCCAAGTGCAGCCTTACCAGCACGGTATAGAGTGTTATTATCACTTCCTGTGAACTTCAAAGAGTAGAACCAGTTACCTCAGGAATTGCTGAGTGCTCCAACACTGGAGGCATATGATGAAAACTTCAACAATCACCTGGCAGACATGCTTTGATTGTATTCCTGCACTGAGCAGGGGGTTGGACTTGATGGCCTTGTAGGCCCCTTCCAACTTCACTTTTCTATGATTCTATGATATATCCCACCTGTTGATGCAGCCTAGGACTGTGTTGGCTTTCTTGGCAGGTGCAGCACACTGCTGGTTCATCCTTAGGTGGTGGTCCAGCAGGACACCTAAGTCCCTCTCACAGGTACTATTGTCGAGCAAGGTACCACCTATCCTGTATCTGTGCACCTGGTTTCTCCTGTTCAATGTACAGGACCTTACTTCCCCCCCCCCCATACCACTGAACTGCATCTTATTGGATAGGGCCCAATGTTCAAGTCTCTCTAGATCCTTCTAAATGTTACGTCTATCTTCCAAAAGATTAGCAATTCCCTCCATCTTGGTGTCATCAGCAAATTTGATGAGTGCTTCTTCAATCCCCTCATCCATGTTGTTGATGAAGATGTTGAAGAGCACTGGGCCCAAGATAGAACCTTGAGGGACCCACACACACACATTTCCCTCCACATAGATGTCGTTCCATTGAGGACCACACATTGAGCGCAGTTGGTCAGCCAGCTGTAAATCCATCTGGTGCTTGCACAGTCTATCCCACTGTGTTCTATCTTGCACAGAAGTGGATAAGTCTACTTTATCAAATGCCTTACTGAAGTCTAAGTATACTATATCCACCATGTTTCTTTGGTCCACTAATTTAGTCACTTTAGCAAAGAAGGCAATAAGATTTGTTTGGCATGACCTTTTCTTAACAAACCCATGCTGTCTTCTAGTCATCACTTTGCTATTTTCTAGGTGCTCATAAATCTGCTACTTGATTATTTTGTTTATTTATTATTTATTTATTTTATTTATTAAATTTATATGCCGCCCACTCTACCCAAAGGTCTCTGGGCCGTTTACAACAATTAAAATTCAATACAATAAAATATAAAATGATTAAAATACAATTAAAATACGATTAAAATACAATTAAAATTGCCAC